ATATAGGGGTCAAAATTTAGGGTATAATAGTTTCCCATCCTGCGGAGAACGAGACTGCTAAGGAGAAGCTCACGGCGTCTCGGGAGGCTCTGGTGTCGAGGATCCAGCAGCTCGAGCAGGATTGCATGGAGGCTCTAAAGGTGGGCTACGATAGTGTCGTGGAGCAGCTCTGAATCGTGAACCTGGATGTTCTGTTTATCATCAAAGAGACGGGGCCCTTCCATCAAGTCATCGAGGGTCGCGTGGTTGCGCCGGGAGCTGAGGAAGAAGAAGACTGTTTGGTCGAGGTGGGCGATGAGTAGGAGGAAAATGAAGCCTCTTAGTGTTGTTTTGTCTTTCTGGCCTGCGTCCCTATGTTATTTTCCTGGCTTGCGTGCCTACCTTTAATGTATTTGTTTCTGACCTGCGTGTCATTCTTGTAATTTTTGAACAATGGGCTTTGTCCGCTATTTTGGGAATGTAGTAACTTTACTTGTATGTTGTGTATGCTTTATTTTCTATGTTTCCTTGTTTTTATGTATGAATTACATTTCTGTTTGTTTTCTTGCTCGACCTATTTTGTGACCGACTGTGCGGGAAATTGGTCAGATGATCGGAGTTGGTATCGGATCGATGACAGGGCCAAGATCTCGGTCAAGGTCTTTTGCCCGGGCGTGAACTTCCCATCGCGAGCTGGGTGTTCTGCCCCAATGGTACGGAAACGGTGGAGCTCGGTTGAGGGGTCCCCGCTGGATCAAGGGTTTTGCCCGCACGCGCAAAAGGCTGACTCTTGTTTTTTTGTTTTTTAAAATTAGAAGTCGTGTTTGTACTGTGTCGTGCCCCTGTGGTTACGACACCAACGGGTTGTGGGCAGTGTCTAACTGTAGTATTGCTTGAGTTTTTTTGTATCCCATGGTCGAGCAAGTTCTTCCCCGTGTAGGTTTTCGAGGTAATAGGCCTCGTTGCCTGTTTTGTCTCAGGCAATAAATGGTGAATAATAAAAAGAAATTGAAAGTGACATGTCTTGTTTCCTTTTTAATTTTTTACCATTCACAATATTTTTTGTACTGCAAATGCTTACACTTTACATCATGTTTAGAAATAAATTTCTCAATATTGTCAACCAAGAAAAGCAATAAATTATGCAGTATTTTCTTTTATTGACAAATTAGGAAGGTTATTCCAAAAATTCAATAACAACATCAACACCATTATGTTAGGATGGATTGCAAGAGCTGAAAAAATATTTTGTTCAAGATAGATGAACATTGAATATTTTTTTCTGTCTTGTAATTCATCCCTAAGAATGATGCGTACAAGTTTGGAGCGACTACATATAAGTTAGGTTTAGGATAAAATCTGATTAACAGGTACTTTTATAGTAAAATATAATTATCAAATCACTCTTTTATTAAAGTAAACCGAAGGAATAGATCATTAATTTAAAAATAAAAAAATAAAAAGAAATGCACCACTTTTAAATAAATAAAAATATAAACTACATTTGCTGGGATTCGAAGCATGTCCTGAATTATTTTTTTCCTCGGTTATATTTAGAAATTGAGGGAATATGTGGTTTTCTTATATAAAAAAAAGCAAGGTGCGTCTTGGCATTATACCTTGATTTTTTGTTGGGTGAGGTGAAAGTTTTGTCATGAAATGTATTATTTGTAGTAGTGATATATACGTTATTTACACGGTCACGCGCTATGGACGGTGGCACAAGGAATTCGAGCGACATACCTGAAGAAAGCATGCCATAACAAAAACAGGGCGCTCAAACTAACAAAGGGGCGATTTGGAAGGAATGAGAGGCGATGTGTATGCATTTGCTACACCCTTTCAAATTACACCATTATACAGTCCTTCATGCACGAAGGCTCGCAGAGGCCCAAGGGTTTGAGTTCTCTTACTCATCTCTGGACGTTTCATGTGAGCCTTATGAAAGCTTTATGCATACTTATGGTTCCAGAGACTTGGGTAAGTCCTCTGGACGAAACTTACTTGAGTCCCTCATGCGAGACTTAGTTTAGTCTTCCTGACTAAACTTAGTTGAGTCCTTCATGTGAGACTTAATTGAGTCTTCTTGAAGAGACTTAGTTGAGTCCCTATAGTGAGACTTATTTAAGTCTTTCTAACAAGACCTAGTTGACTCCCTCGGGAAAAACATATTTGAGTCTTCTTTGAGGCTGGAAAAGATATTTGTAATAAATGTAAGTATATAGTGCAACCTAAGAGGTAAGTGAGTTTGGTTTTAAGATTTTTTGTGTTATTTTAGAGATGTTGTGGTTCTTTTTATTTTTTTTTAAAAGTTATGATGAGCTGATGAATGTAATTTTTGGTCCATGGACTTCATGACAATTGATTCTACTCATAAGGCAATTGATTGTTCCCTTTAGAAAATGATTTTTTTTGCTAAGAAACACATGAGCAAAAGGTGCAAAACTTATATGAATGCTAGGTTTATTTAAGAATCTTTTAGATGAAAGTTTGTAAGCACCTAAAGCTTATAAGTAATGAATTACATATTGTACCTTAGATTAAACTTGATCTAATCCCTTGAGAAACCATAACTTTACCATTATCAAACTATCTCTTGAAACTTCATCAACCTTGAAAACTTGAACATGATCAATTCATTGGTATACAAACTTCAATCCTTTGTCTTGAAACTTTCTTGAAATATATTTTTCTTCTTTTCATTGATTCGTATTCATCAAAAGATCATCTTCACAAAATCTTATCTTCATAATCTCTTCATTTTTTATGATGACAAATAAATTCTTTAATGATTGTGATTTTCAAAAAAACTTCGTCTAAGATGAATATCTCCCCCTTACTTAAACCTTGAATCCTTTGGGTTCTTCAACTTCATACCATGATTTAGACAAGAAAACACAAGCATGCATGCACAAGAATACATACATCCTTCTTCCCCCTTTGACATTATCAAAAAGAAGGAAAAGATGGGAGAAAATATATAAACATATAATCATACACAAATAGATTCACACACATCAAATTACACATAGATATCAATACACAAGCATAGTAAACATAGATATCAATACACAAGCATAGTAAAGAACTTAGTACACAAACATGTCTTAAAAACTATAATTGAGCTGGGGGTTGTAATTTTTCCGTCCAAAAGTTATAATTGAGAGAGAATTGAGTTTGTAATTTTGTCATTGTCAAATAATTATGATTTTATAAATTTTTGTTGGAATTTTTGTTTTTTTTCTTTTTTGTGGGTATGTTTTTATGTGCATAGAAATTTTCACCCATTAAACCAATTTCATTGATTGAAAAAAACTTGCAAGAACTTAAATCCTTACTTATATAAACAACCAATAAAAAGAGAAAAAAAATTAAATTTATTATATATTTTATTTTATTTTTAATTGAAATCATAAAGTTGTAGTTATTAGGCGAGAGGGAAAAAAATTATTTTTATTTTTTAATTAATAAAAAAAATTTATGATTGGTTGTTTTGATCACTATGCAGAGTCGTGTGAATACTAACCATAAGGTACTTGAACAAACATCTCTAAAATAACCAATTGGAAAACCAAAAACATTTACAGCAACAGAGTAAGATTCTATTGGTAGTCACAACATACTCTTCTTAACACCAATAAATAATTCAATACCATTGAAGCAAGTTATAAACAAAATGCAATTAACCACAATAACCACAAATATTTATGCAAACACCTTAATATATTCAACTATTTATGCAAATGAAATTGAACAGCATGCCAGTAGCTGAATAAAAGTAAAGTGTGATAAACATAATAGTGCAGCATAAGAAAATTCTAATTTTATATAAACAGACACTATGTTGCCAATTGATACACCATTCATTCAGAATGATGCACACTGCAGTATGAAACCATACAGAGAAAGATATTATATTGCAATAAACACTGAAAGCACGACAAAGAAGAAACCCATAAACAAATAAACAAACCTCAAACAACCTCCAAAGCTCTAAAAAACAGACCAAAACTGAGAAAGATATTATATTGCAGTAAACACTGAAAGCACGACGAACAAAGAAGAAACCCATAAACAAATAAACAAACCTCAAACAACCTCCAAAGCTCTAAAAAACAGACCAAAACTGAGAACATCACTTCAGGTAAACAAATGAACAACATCCAAGACTAGACATACCACACACCACCTCCAACATACACCACCTAAACCACAAATTAATAGGTAACAAGGAGGGACCGAAAGCACAGAAAACACGGAAAGGGATTAGCTACTGGTTAACTTGGGTGAGTTTTATGTATTTAGGGTAAAGATGAATGAATAAAATAAACTATTAGACAAGTAAAAATGATTGGTCAGAGAGATATAATAAGATACCAATGATTCAAGTCAAAACTTACACTAAAACAACTCAATCAAAAACTAACCAGAACCATCCGAAAACATATGCCTCAAAAAAGCTCAATATGGAAGAGAACAACACCTCAAGATGGAACAAATCATTCCGACCACACAGGTAAAGATACCAGTTATTCAAGTCATAAACAGAAGTGGTATTAACCACCACAAATATTTAGCTAACACCTTAATATATTCAACTATTTATGTGAAGGAAAATGAATAGCATGTTGGTAACTGAATATAACTGAAATGAACAGAACATTAGAATAGTGCATCAAACAAAAATTCTGGTTCCATATACACACTAGGTTGCTGGTTGATACGCCATTCTTTCAAAATGCAACACACCCCAATAATTACTAATGACAACTATTGCACTAGGGATTCAAAGACAGTTAAGAGTTTCACTCTACTATAATCATTGACAATATAATAAAACTAATGATTGGTAATTAAGGTTCCGACAAAAGAGGCAAATAGCATAAATTTAAGAAAAGTAATAAATCCATTAGAAATATCATAACAAAAATCTCAAACAACAAGTATTTCTGCATAATCAAAAAGACAAAGATTGGAACAAAAGAAAAACACAGTTACACTGTAAAATTCTAATCCACCACCTAAAACAGAGATGTTCCCTTTCCCTTCTTATCACCACCAATTTCAAAATGCTTGCACCTCTGCAAAAATAAAACCAAACAACTCATTACACAAAACACCCAAACACAAAAATTACACAACAAAAAACATTAACAAAAAAACCCTTACCTTAATGGCGTGTTGGGAAACATGTTTGCAGCCTTGACACTGAAGCCTCAAAACAATCTTCTTAGTGGTTTTAGCCTAATTCAAACATAAGCAAAACAAAAAATAAGAAACAAACAATTAACTGAATTATTAACAATTAAGAATTTAGAGTAATAATTGATTGTACCTTTTTGTGAAAGACGGGCTTGGTCTGTCCACCATAACCAGATTGTTTCCGATCATAACGACGCTTTCCCTGGGCAGCAATGCTATCTTTACCCTTTTTGTATTGGGTAACTTTGTGTAAGGTGTGCTTCTTGCACTCCTTGTTTTTGCAGTATGTTTTCTTCGTCTTTGGAACGTTCACCTGCAACAACAACAATAGAAATTGAATTAATTTTTTATATAACGTGAAATTGATGAATGGATTTGTTGGTAGATGAAGAGGGGAATACCATTGTTGCGTAGGGGTTTGAGATCGGCTGAACAAACGAAGGGTGAAGAAGGAAGGAGAGTCTCTTTTATGTGACTGTGAATTAGGGTTTTATGGTCCAGCTGTTTGCTTTTGGGCTTTTTTTTCTTTCTTTTTTTGTAATAATGGAGCTATTGGGTTGTTTGATTGACTTGTGGCCCAAATTAGATTTTATTAATTTTAGACGATTTCTTATTACACCCTATATATTTCTAGTACACCGTGTAGATTTTCACATACATATTTTATACATACGCAACTAAGGTAATTCTAAGATACGCCTCATTTATTTGGGTTAGCTTATTCCTGAGATATATCTTCGGAGCAGTTTTAAGAAAACACTTTAATTGTTCTGTTCAGTGGATATTTTAGAGATATATCTTCGGAACAGTTTTAGAAAAACACTTTAATTGTTCTGTTCAGTAGATATTTTGGAAATGAATCTCAAAAAATATTTGATATAGCTTCTAACTGCAAGACCAATCCCCCATTGTTGTCATACTTCATTCTCAAAATAAACTTTCGCCTTAACAGGGTTGAGTCGGTCCATGCTACTTTGAAAATTTGGTTGGGAAATAACAAAGGAAACTTGCGTAGATACTAGGACTTCGTAAATCACATGATTCAGAACCAGTATAATGAGAAACAAACAATAATTGGTCGGAGCATCACGATTTTGGAACATCGATTTAAACACAACATTTTATATTTTTATTTGGTCGGTAACATTTCTCGGGCGAGTTTGAACTATATTTTTCACGAGGCTAAACGAACTAATAATGTAGGCTTTGATACCGCAAAGTGTGATTGCACCATTGTGAAAACATATGGTATCTCGTGTGCTTGTACTTTTGCTAAAAAGGTGAAACTTTGTGAACCAATACGAATGAACGAGTTTGCTCTTATTGGAAGGGACTTATGTTCAATGATGATGGATGCATGGACGACAGGAAATCGAATATCTCCATTTTGACCAAATGGGAAGCAATAGAAGAGATATTTTTGAAGGTCGGTGACATCATGAAACTCCACATCAAAGAACAATTGAGGAAGATTGTCTATCCCAAAACCACCGACATGAAATCGCCTTCTCAACCGGTAAAAACAAAAGGTGCTCTGAAGAAAAATAAGATTACACCGAATGACAACTCGACTACATAGTCTCTTTCATATTTTGAACACGTTAACAAAGTTTTTCCCGACTCACCGACTCCAAAATCTCTAAAAAGTGTTGTGAAAGGAGCCCACATTAGAAAACCACCTTTGACGTTGCTTCCGCTGAAGATTTTATTCATCGACGAGATGTTGGTTTTTATGCACAAATATATCAAGCGGGTCATCAATGTTATGGGGGATATTAATTGCGGTTACCGAGTTGTTTCGGCTTTACTTGGTAAAGGAGAAGATAGTCATGTGCTTGCTTAACATCAGTTTATCCAAGAGTTGAATACGCATAAAGAATCGTACATGCGGTTATACAGAAATAAAGAAAAAATCAATGCGATTTATGAGTCTTTTGTTCCTTGCTTTAGCGGTCCGGCACCAGAGTCAAATGGATGAGCTTTCAGGATATGGGTCACCTAACAGCATATGCATATGATAGGATGTGCATTGACCTGACATGCTATGGTTTTTCGAAAACCTTTTTCCCACTGCGCATTATACCACCCCAAAATCCAAATGAATGTATCATGTGTATTAGATGACTTTCAAAATCAAGTCATTTTGTTCGAGTTTACTTGAAACCAGGTTGCCACATACCACTTACATCACCGCAGTGGACGACTTATTCTATCACAAAAGTCAAGATGTGGTTGGATCATTTTATAGAAAGGATGCAAGAATTCGAGAGATTGAAAAATATTGAAAAAGAATCGAATGAACAAAAGCCCAAAGGAGTACCACCTATAGATTTAGTCGGTAACACTTTTTTCGATTCGTTTTAATTTCTTGTTTAACCAGACAAATAATTGTATATATTTATATCTCAGTATAAATAAAGTGTTACATATTCACTTTTTATTCATATTTGGCTTTTATGCATATTTGATTCATATTTGGTCTTAATGTGAGTGTCTGTTATATGGTTCTGTTTTAGAAATGCTTCAAGAGAAGTTTCGGAGATACATCTCTAGAGGTTCTATTATATGGTTTGTTTTTAAAATGGTTCAGGGAAAGTTTCAAAGATGCACCTCCGAAACAAGATAATAGGGCGCATTTCCGAAAATATATCTCCGGAATCAATGTGATAGTTAATGAGTAGTCCATATTGAACTAGGTGTTCTACAAAATTAGGTGTTTTGTGTTATATTTCACACAAACTCAATATTCTTAAATGTCACAAAAAAAAAACATTCACTGGTATGTCGCAAATGTCTCTTACTCTGGTGGCTCTACATCAGAGAGGATGTTTAAGCTCACCGATCTTACCCCATTCGATGATATCATAGACGAAATTCATTATCTCCTACCTTATGGAGAAAAACAAATGATTGTGAAGCTCGAGTACCGTTCATCTTCGATTGACAACAAAGGGAACATCGTGTTCAGCAAATTTGAGCTTAAGACTCAAGTGGATGTTAGGGCTATATGGGATATGTATTTCAGTTTCAAAGAGAAAGTTTTGATCGAGTTGGAAACGACACTACAGAGATTGGTCGAAGATATCCTTAAGAAGTGTAAGCGTCCACCGAGATATTGAAATATAATATTTAATTTTCTATTGAAATCATCACTGTAATGATTATTTTATATTATAGATGTCAATTGTATTTTGAAAAATTCATTTTCTACTTAATATATTTCTGGTGTATTTTCGAAAATGTAACTACATTATAGTTTCGGAGATGCATATCCGGAACAAATTAAATCCAATACATAGGACGCCTCTTAGAATAACATTTGTTGAGTCTGCATAGGGTGCGTCCAAAGATATATCTTTAGAAATATGGGACATTAGTGGAATTTCGCACAATACGATAGAAACATATAAGGTGCAATAAGAAATTTTCTCATTTTAAGGGAATTTCTTAATGCATCTTAAAATACCATGTGAAAATACAAAAATGTCTTCAGTTTTCGGAGATGCATCTCTAGACGCACCTCATGCATATACAACTCATTCTTTTTTTAATCACGTCTCAATATTATGACTTAAATTATTCTAGAAATGTATTTTCGAAATCTCTTCGAAAATACATTTCTAGAACTTATAATAAGCATGTTTATTTGCTTCTGATAAACAATTTTGACAATTATTTATAAAAATATTAAAAGGTTTAATACCCTTTATTTGTTTATAATAAGCATGTTTATTTGCTTCGGAAATACATTATGTAAATATTAATTTTGTTTTTTTATTATTTATAAAGATATTTAGAGTTAATATTCTTTTTGGTCTCGTATCTTAATCCCGGATTAATTTTGATCTTTTAACTTTAAAAATGTTCATATTAGTCTTTAAGTCTTCAAAACGTTTCATATTAGTTCTTTTTATCTAATTAGTGACTGATTTTTAAATTTTTTTTGTCGCTAATATGACAAAAATGATTAATGTGGAACACTTTAAAGAGTTAAGGAATCAATATGATTTTTTTTTAATATTAAGGGACTAAAATGAACCCCAGGATTGAGATACGGGACCAAAAAGAATATTTTTTCAAATATTTATGCAATCATTTAGTTTTATAAAAATCAACTAATAACATGGTATTTATAAATATTGTTGTAATTGTATAAATCAATATCAGTAACATAAATAAACACATTTTTCCCGCGTTTGAATTCAGATATTGTTTTAAATATATTTACTTTTATGTTTTTTAATTATACAAAAAAAATGTAATAACTCGTGCATTCGCACGGATTCTAGTTTGGATACTCGTGCATTCGCACGAATTCTAGTTTGGATATCAATGTGTTCGCACAGGTACTATGTGTTACACGTATTTATCTCCAAAATATAATAAGAATTAAAAAAACAGAAAGACAAAATTATTTAACCAAAAAAATTCATTATTTGTATGAAAAAAACATATTTTTATTTATTTTTGGATCATAATATATATATATATATATATATATATATATATATATATATATATATATATATATATATATATATATATATATATATATATATATATATATATATATATATATATATATATATATATATATATATATATATATATATATATATATATATATATATATATAAACACAGACACACAAATATTTGGATCAGTCGTATATTTTTTCGTATGTAAATATTAATTTTGTTTTGACATTATTTATAAAAATATTTATGCAATCATTTAGTTTTATAAATATCGACTAAATAACATATTTGTAAATATTATTTTAATTGTATGAAAAAATATTAGTAACATAAATAAACATATTTTGTCCGTGTTTGGATTCATACATTATTTTAAATATATTTACTTTTATTTTCTTTAATTACACAAAAATTGTAATAACACGTGCGTTCGCACGGATTATGGTTTAGATACATGTGATTATTAAATATAATCGAAGGAATAGATCAATATTTTTTAATTTATTCCCGTTTATAAAAGTACATTGAACTCATGCGTTATCTCTCAAGTCTCAAGTAAACACATTGAACCCGTGTTCATTTATAAAAAATATGTGTAACTTATTCCAGTTTATAAAATAATTGTAACTTACCCTCATTTATAAAAATAATTGTATCAATATGTACACTTTTCTCATTTATAAGCGTCTTGAACCCGTGTGTCAATTTATAAAAAATATTTGTAATTTATTTTCACACAATGCCAAAAATGACTTTTGGCAACGCAGAAAAGACAACGCTTTCTGTAAAAGCGCTGCTAAAGAGTAAAAAAATGAAAAAAAAGAGCTGACTTTAGAAAACGCTTTTAAAAAAGTGCTGCTAAAAGTGTCAATTTTGTATTACAAAATAAAGCGATTTTAATAAAGCGCTAAAAATGGGGGTCTACG